CTGAGTTTTGATGATTTTTCCCAAAATTGGCCACGAGGCGCAGCAAGTTGCGGGACTAGGTGACTTGCACCATATATGTGGCTTTATCTAGAGCAACGTCATTGGAGTCTTTACAAGTGCTAAATTTTAGTAAAGATAAAGTCATAGCCAACCCCAAGGCAATTATGTTCTATCAATCTTTATCACAAGGTTAGTAGAAAAATCTAACATAATATGCAGGTCATCAGATTAAAAAATAATTGTTAATTTTTTATTTTTAAACTAGTATCATCACCTTCATCACCATCATCTTCATCACCATCATCTTCATTGTCATCACCTTCATTGTCATCACCATCACCTTCAAGTCACAATAATGCAAGTAAAAATCATGATAAAGAAAATTTGTGTAAAAGGTTAAAACTTGCTAAGGTGAGAAAACTTGAGGCAGAAGCTGAAAAAGCAGAAATTGATACTAGAAGAGCCAAAGTCTTAGCGGAATTATATATTAGGAAGGCTGTGGCGGAAGCTGAAAAAGCTGAAACGGAAGCTAGAAGAGCCAAAGTTTTGGCAGAATTAGATATTAGGGAGGCTATGGCCAAAGTAACTAAAGCTGAAACAGAACTAGGAAAGCCAAATGCTGCCAAATTTTAAATTACCATTAATTAGTACTTTATTAAATATTTAATCATCATAAAATAGTTTTAGAATTTTATAAACAAAGTCTAGAAATTAATGTCATTAAATAGAGATCATAAAAGTTAAGTTTTATGAAAATATTATTAATATTAATCTAGCATTGAGTTTGTTATGTCCAATTTTCTAAAAACAAAAATTATTTAAATTTTAAAAAAATGTACTAGTACTGATTTTATACTAAAAAAGTACTAAGTTGTACTAAAAATATTCCTAAAAATAATACTATTAATAAAAACAAATTTTTTATGACTGCATCCACCGATTTGCACAAAAAAATTTTTTTTGACTAATACTAATACTAATATATACTAATTCTTCCCTATTTGTGTATCCTAATACCCTCTTTAACGTTAGTTTTTTTATAAAAAAAATAAAATCTATTAATTTGTTAATATATAAATTTATTATGTTATAATATACAATAACCTTTAATAGAGACTGAAACCCAAAACTTTTGCAACAGAGCCCTTGATAGTTATATCTTTTGTTCCACTCAAAGTATATACAAATCATTCAAAAAAAGAAATATTAATATAATAAATATTTTAATAAATTAATTAAATTAATTAATATTTACATATATGAGCAGGATATTGCCTTTATTTTAAAAAAATTAATATTTACTAAACTTATAAATGTCTTCCACATTTGTTATAATTTAATACTTGATGTTTCTTATCAGTAATTGAATTGATTCGAGATTTGAAGAATATATATATAACTTTTCTATTATTATAAAACAACTAGAGTAATGAGTAACAGGTGGTAAATGACCACCACCACCTTTTAATATATAGGAAAAAACAGAATTTTTATTATTAATCGAAATTTATATACTTCATAAATGGTTAATTCGTGTATATATTAAATGGTAAAATAATAACTCCAGTAGGAGAAAATGAATAAATAAATTATTAATATATCCATGTATGTTTATTGAATACATATTTTGAAATGGTTCATGGAATATTTATTATCTTTAAATTGATGATATGAATCCTTCGCCATTTCGATGTAGTCATATTCTTTATGGTCAATTGCATATTTGTTAGGTAGGAATGGTGAACATTATATTTTCGCCAAATATGTGGGGTGTTTGAAAAGGTTTGTCGCCGACCCTGTAATACAACTATTTTATTATTATTATTATTATATTAATATGTAACTTTATACATTTATTTTTTTTAAATGAAAATAATCATTTTCTCTTCTAAATGAAAAAAAAATCATTGAACTTGGTTCATTCATTGTAAAGTTCTTGATATTGTCACCAATTAATTTTGGGAGAGCGTATTTTAATTGATGATAACAAATTTTTATTATTTTATGTGGATCAGAA